TGCTGTATAAAGTTGTCAAAACTTACCCAGTGAAATCAGTTTTATATTAATTTGTGCAAAAAGCTAGATTTCAAATCTAATATTCCAAAACTTTTAATGGGACAGAATCTTTCTCAATTGCCTAGGGTCTTGATTAGGGTCTATAAATGGGTGGGAGGAAAAATTTGGCTTGGCTAGGCTTGGGCGGTTGAGGGCTACGCAGAGCTCCTGCCAACACAAGCAGGCCTGGTAAAATGGAGACCATGGAAAACAAAGCATGTAGCTTCTGTAAAGGAGTCAAAACTGCCTCTGCTCAGCTGTGTCCCCTACCCTGGGAAATATCCTTAGCACATCCATTCGTGGCTGCTTTTGGTCAAGAGCTGAGGAGACCATGTGTGATGGCACAAGACAGCACACGTGGCCCTATCGCTGGAAAGGGGGAGGACCCTGGCCCAGCAGCCTCACCTGAGGACAACCTGTTTGTGGCATCCCACCCTTCCCTTCTCCCTGCAGGGYAATGTATATTCAAACCATGTATTAAAATAATAGGAAGGCAAACATCCATAGAATCACTAACCTTAATTCCYGAATAAGCCGCTCGCAGCTGACTGCCTTTGCCCAATTTAATTTTCTTTGTGTGTATTATAATGTTCAGTGTGCTCAATGACAATCACTTCTGTGAAGCTGCATTTCATTTTCTCTGACCACCAAAACTGTGATCTGTTTTACTTGTCTGGAACAAGTATCATGCACAGATTTTAATTATTTAGTCATGATTTAGCATGCATGATATATGGGTATCATTATCAATGGCTGCAATATCTCTTTTCTTCTTTTGGCTGTTTAACATGAGGAAGATGCTCTTTGTTATTAACATCTGTTCATCAGGGGCACAGACCTTCTCAGCACTCCTAGCACCTTCTGTTTTTGTCAGGAGAAGGGAAAGTGATCAAGAGCCTCATCAATGCCTAATTTGGCACTGATGTGTTTTCCATTCTCYTAGCTTGGCTTAGATCTAAATTGTCCCTAAAATTATAGTATGTTTTAAAATACTCCACAATAACCAGATCTGACTAGGCAKAGACCAAGGTGGTATAGATACAAATGGAACATTATTTAAATGTTACGGTTGTGTGTGGGCTACAAGATGAAAAATAAGTTAATAAAAGACGTGGTTGAATTAGAAAATAAGATTAGTGAATTGCTTTAGCCGTGAAACCATCTTCTAGCTATGGAAAAATAGCTAATCTTATTTTTCCCCCACTAAGCTCATTCTAGTTTTTACGCAGCCCAGTGAAGGCCTCACAGCAGATATGTCCCTTTATATTTACCTTCTATTATAGCAGGCATTTTATTAAACCTTTAAAAAAAACCCTTTGGTTGGTAGTAAAACAAGGCTCTGGTTCTTTGCTGCTTATCTTTCACAATGTTACTGCAGAGGCACTGAGCCATTTGTAGAGTAATTTTTTTGGTAGATCGAGCTGCAATCCATAGCTTTCCTGTCTGACTGGATCAGAGGGCGTAGCTGCATTTTGAGGAGGGACCACACTTGAACCTTTTTGCAGATTCCTCTTAGAGAAACATAAATGAACAACAAAAAAGAGCTTTCTGCAGCAGCACTCAATTCTGTGAGCATTGCCGATACCAACCAGACATAGCAACGTTTGTGCTCCAGACCAGGATCTTATTTCTTCCTAAAAAAAAAAAAAAAAGCATCAAAATCTGATCATGTAGATAAAAGCGGAAACTTCTCATGAATATACTCTACATGATTAAAACTCCAGCTCCCTATGGTTTAGACCTGGAAGACATTTTAATTATCTATCTAACATCTTGCTATTTCTGGAATTTTGACTGCGAATGTTTCTGACATAGTGTTTCATGGAGTATCCTTTCCTCACACTGTGCTTTTTTTATACTCCAGATGTACAGTAAACAACAAAAGCTTGTTTTATCTTTTACTCTCCATCAGATGAAAGCAAAAGATAACTAAAAGGAAAAAAAAAAAAAAGCTTTTAAAGAATATATTTTAATCATAGATATCCTGCTTATAATATAAAAGTCTGATAATAATCTCAAATATACTTTACTAAATAAATCCAAACTACACATAAAAATCCAACCATAAATATACTGTAAATAAAAGAAAATCAGCAATTAAATATTACTTCAAAGAAAAGCCTTTACATATTTCTCATTTTTTCCAGACAAATATATTCAGATTTTTGCATGCAATTATGATTTTAAATCAAATTTAGCAATTTTCAATACCATCCTATCGGTTAAAAACTGATATCAGCACAGAAAAAAAAATCCTGACATGATAATCATAAATATATTTTACTTTTGAATACATAGGCAGGAGCAACTCAATGCTCAGGGAGAGTTTCCAAACGTAGCCCAGCCTTCTAAATATATAATATAGTGTATGAAAAGTAGGTATCAAGTTTACAAGGGAATACCTTTAAAGTTGGCATTAGAGTGACCATACAGATGTTGTTATACAAGAATAAGAAATATCAGCAAACTTGGACAGACTCAGTCTTTGTTGAGTGCTTGGGCAGTTTCAAACATTGATTTATTCCTTAGACTAAAGTAACTAACAAATGATTAAATAAATCTGGGTGCTTGCTTAGAGAACCTATTTTTTGTTCAGTTTCTGCTTCCTGGATTTGTCCCTAAATTGAATTAATAGCAATAAAATGATTGGTATTGKTCAGATCAGGTTTAGACTCATAGGAAATGGCTACACTCTGAGAGGAAACACAGTGATTGGATTTGTGAACTGTTTAGATCTCAACTGTTGGGGCAGTTCTGTGCCGTGTGACTTGTCCAAATAGAGTTTGTCCTCTTTACCTAGACACTAGTCAATGCTACACTTAATGGCCTCTCGCAGGCTGAATTAGCTGCATTAGCATTAGCTATATTATATTATATTATATTATATTAGCTATAGCATAGCAGCATGCTAACAGGGTTAGACCTGAGTCTTCATGGCAAACAGCATGTGAATCAGTGCCAATGCAGGCTGCACTTTGTGAGGTAGATATATCTTTAGTATATCAATATCCTTTATCTTCAGTAAGGTCAATAATTAATTCATGAAGTGCAAACAAGTCTGTAAAGGAAGTCTCTGAGGAAGAGATATGGTTTCATGAGATAGGTCTAAAAATAAGATCTTTTCACAAGAGAAGAAAAAGAAAGAAAAATGAAGTAGTGAATACACATGTACTTTGCAACCTCAGAAAAGACATTTTGATTATAATCCAGCTTGTCTTTGTGCATTATGTGTTATGATTTCTTCAAGTGATTCCTACATCTAGAACTTCATATTGAGAAGGCTATTTCTTTAAGATGATGTTTAATTTTAGAAGATGTTGTGTCAAAATCATTTTATATGACGGGTGTGTTCTGATATCTGCCGCTTCAGAGAAGTTATTAAATTAAAAGCTGTCTGTAGAAATAAAACATATTGTTTCTTTGTTTGCATTATTAGTCATTAAATGCATGCAGTAAGGAGATCTACAGAAAATGACTCCTGTTGCCTTCTGCCTTGTTTCTGCTCACCTGAATAGAGATGGGGTTTGGATGGTCACTGTGGTGAGCCTTTAGTTAACCCAAGTACAGCAAGGTAAAAGCTGTGTCTGTAAGCAGACAAGTACATCTGGTCTCCTAACACAGAGAACCTGAGTTTAGGCGCCTGTTAGGTCCCTGATGGTTGAATATTCATTCACTCAGATCCAATATTGCCTTATTGAGTTGATGGAAGGAGGAGCACGTTTTCTCAAAGACCGTCAGATTCATTTGGGGGCTCCTGAGTCCAGTCACTGTGTTATATCCATGGAAATGACTACCTGTATAAACCCTCCCTCTGTAGAAATCTGATGTTAGAAGGGCAATTTAGATTAGGTATATGGTAGCCCTAATGTGTGAACCCATTCAGGTCTAGCACTGACCCTAATGCAATAAGCCTCTGGAAGCCGAGTGCTATGAAACCTGGTACAGAGATACTGAATAGCTCTGCAGGAGATGGCTTTGATACAGCAAAAATCACATTGTTTTGGAGCTAATTGGTAAGTTTAACTAAACCAAGCCTGATTCCTCACAAAGATGGTGTGAGGAAAGATGCTGAAACATTTGCACTGCACCCTGCTCAGATTCTGTAACACTTTCCTTCTCTTGGCTTTTCCACTATCTATAACCCAGTGCCTTGTTCTCGGGGAATCCCTGTGTRCTTGGGGAGCTGATGGCACACGCACACATTGCACACAGCCCACCGGGAACTGCTGCTGAAGTACTCGAATCTGTACAAACTGCTTAAACAGTGCCTCTAACGGACTAATGTGGAGCATGTGGTCTAGCTTTCAAAAGCACCGTGTTCCTCTTCAAAATACTGATTTACTGCTTCCTCCAAAAGCAACATCTGAGCCTTCCTCTCCTTGAAGCACAGGAGTGTTTAAAATATATATCTGGGGCAAAGATAGCCTTTAAAAATGCCTGGAATACTCAACTGTAATTTTCATCCGTTAATAATAGTTCAGAAGATATTTGCACCTAACTAACTTTTGACAATTTTGGCAATGTCATAAGAGTATCCTAAATGATCGTTTCAGCTCATCKTCTTCGCATAACAGTTCACAAATAAAGCTCAAGTCATGAGACTATCAAAACTCATTGCTATCTCTTACTTGGGCAGCCTTAACCAGACAAGAGCATATAGAGGGAATAAACTTGTAAAAGGATTCTTTCCTAATTTATGGAAAGGTTTACATTAATAGCACAAAGACAGCCAAGGTCAATAGTTCCAAATAACCCAGAGCACAGGTGAGGAATTAAACCTTTTCACCTGTGTATAATGAGGGTGGAGAGGATTCTCCACTGTTGCTTTCCCCCATACCACCTGGAAAGGGTTAATGCACCACTTAACCAGAGAGCATGCACCTGAGAGGCCCAGCCTGGCCAGTGCCTCTGAGCTATAAAAGGCAGCAGGCAGGTACTGACTGACTGGTTGCTGGAGAGGAAGGAAGGAATGAGGAAGCTCTGCATGATAACCAGGAACCAGAGACTTCAGAGGTCTTGTGCAGCTTTGGCTTGGAAACTGAGGAGCTCAGTGGTAAGTGATTTATGAGAATGGGATGGTCAGAGCTCATGCTGGGTAATGGAGAAACGGTGTTGTTTTTAAAAGGATGACAATGAGCAAGAGGTKTGTGGAGAGAGGTCTCTCACTAATGAGAGTTTAGCTTGTCAAAGGGGTGATTCCCAAATTTGCCATTAACACCAGAGACTCTGAGGATCTAGTGTGAGTTTAGCGAGGGTGGCCTCCTGAGGATGTGGAGGAAAGGCTTTTGTACTTGACACAAGCAAGAGTATTTGCATGGTTCTTCTGAACTTCCCTGGCTGCTTCCAGGAGATGTAAGCCTTCTGAAGCAAATGTTCTGATGTTATCAAATGAAAAAGAACAAGCTGGTCAAGCAAAAAAAATGTTGCTGTGAAGTGTTTTTTTTAGTAGTTGCTATAAATGTAGCAGGGATACGAAAGTGTAGGTTTAATTTTTGGTGAGACTTTATATTTTTTCCGGGACTAACAAGTAAAGTTSATGTCACTTTAACCTCTTTAACCTTTTCATAAGTGTAACACAGTATTTTAACATGGACTGGGATAATGTGATGGGAATTTAATTTTCTTTTGTTGTATGATGGGACTTGGTTAATTTTAACCTTGTGGGTTTTTTTGAGTTAAAGAAKGAAATGTGAATAATGACAGGCTACCAGTAAGAAAAATATTTATAAAGTGCAAAATATAGTGGTTGAGTGTCCAAATTTTGTGTGTTTCATTGCACTGCTCTAGAAATATCCTTAGCCCTTAAAGGACAATGCAACCTACATAATTATTGGTAATCCAAGGTTCAACACTGAGAAACTGTTATTTAGGCCATAAAATGGCTCAAAAAGCTCAATTATTTTAAATATCATCATACGCTCACAAAAAAAAAAAAAAAAATCACATGAAATTCAGTTAAGATTGAACTTAAATGATTTTAAGTCCAGGAAATTCATTTCCAGGCCAATTAGTTTCAGCCACACTGAAGCTAGAAACTTACCTCTTTCAGGAAATGGCCAGATTCATGTCTAGAAAGGCCTGCTCATATTCTACTCTAGGAGGTCGGTATAAATCTTTGGTGCATTTGTTAATCTTTTAAGCTGGGGAATGTAAACCTCTAGAAGCTTGTATTTTCAGAATTCTGTAACTACACCTCCAACTGATTATTTCACTTTTTGTCTATAATAATGCCCCATTCTATTCTCTATGTATTATTCGTATATGCCTTATATTTCATCACCAACCCACTAACGTTAAAATCATACTATACCTGAAATATAAACACCATCACACTGAAGTTGAGAACACATTATACTTTAGAAATAATTACTATCATGCTGAGGCAAGGTTGCCACCTTTTTTTGTGAAGCCACAAAGGCTTTTCTGGTTACTGGTGCCTTTTCCTACCTGTACTGGAAGCCAACTTCTATGTTTTCTCTTGTGCCTTTTCTTCTCCAAGTAGGGTAGGGTTTTTTTTTTTTTTAAACATTTCACACTCAGCCTTCTAGTTAGCTGTTTTCTGCCACATGTGAAAGTGGCATTAGCCAATTAGGAAGTGCTGCCTTTGATAACTCCATTCACTCTATATTTGTCCTTCATGTCTCCACTGCAGATGCGCAGTTGGAGACCCTTATGTTACAGAGGAAACATCTCCAGCATCAACCAAAACAATGTCTTCCTTTACCCATGCCAGCAGTCTGTGTGTCAAGCTCATCCCTATTGGCAGTCCTTGTCTCTGTTTGCTCTCAACACARTTTTGTGAATTTTTTAGTATTGAACAAAGGCTCTTCTATATACTTGGCCAAGTGCTTCTGCAGACAACCTTTCTTTATGGCTGGGATGTGGGTTATAATGGCATTCCTGAGAAATGGGACAGAATGCTGTGATGGACTGGCAGCATGCCTGTATTTGCATGACAAAGGAGTCCAACTAGAGCGCTGAAAATCCCTGTGGTGAGAGGCACCATGTTAATAACGCTCGTCTTGTAGGTTGAGTTATTTAATTGTGCATTACTAGATCTTATCTGGAAGTCTGTAGCCTGATTGGCCTCTTAGCTGTGGGGTTCTAAAGGCTTCCCAAAGATGACTGCTGATAGGTACTGTCTCTTCTGGAAGTTTTCTTCACAGCATTGTTGCTCTTGGTTCTCATCTCTCTGCTCYCTTTAAGCCATAAGCTGAACATCAGCGTTGTGTCTGGATGCCTGTAAGTGGCATAGAATTGTCACACTATCTTATCCCTTTTATTGCATTGGTAATGTGCTATGTGCAGTCCAACTATCCTGACTTTTGATTTGTGCTTCCTTATAATGATTACAAAGCAATAAAGAATTTGAGGTAGACAATGTGTGCAGGGATGTCCTCATTCTGTACTCCACCAGTCATGTTTTGAAGAACGACTACTCAACTTTTTATCTGAAGTTATCGTGTTTGTGGCTCAGGCTCTTAGCTGTAATATTTATTAAATTTATGTATATTAATAAGTGCTAAACATGTATTGAAATAACATGCCACAAGGATGTGCTTTTAACCTGTTGAACTAAATTAAACTTACTCTTGGTGTAAAGCGAAGTTGTACAACGCCAAAAAAAAAAAAGGCACAATTGGCTTGTGTCCTTGTTAAGCATCCTATTGAAATCTTTGTTCATTTTCTCAGTATTTAGTCATGCTCCATATGAAGGTTGCTTGATGTTTTATAGAAAAGCTGAACTTCTCTGACTTTTGTGGTACCTCAGGTCAATAGTGCATAAATGGRGTGAGAAAACTTTATATTTGAATTATGTTGTCTGACTATAATAATTAAAACCACTAATGTTGTTCTAATGCTGCCTTTGTTACAGCAATCACAGCAGTGARTGCTACATCTCACCTTATGTTATTTTCAAAAAGCCTTTCATGCTTATGTATTTAATTATCTAGCTTTCTTTTAATGTATTTGTCAAGCAATCTTAAATATATTATTGCAATACCATATCTGCAATACTATCTCCACATAAACAAATGTGCTTTTTAACTACAGCATTGAGAACTCCCTCTGGTAGGATTCCCAAACTGCTCTGCAGGTTGCTGGCTACAGCAGACTACCAAAACAAATCTCTTACCATGATCAAGGTCAGAGCCAGGTCAGTCATTCACAGAATATTGCATCTCTTCTTGGAAGCAGGAAGCATTTGATATTTGATTTCCCTGTGCACCAGCCTTTGATGGATTTTCCTTTTCTTTCCTGCAGAGGGAAGAATCTGTTATGTTAAAATTATGTGTATTTACATATAATGACTGATACACATTTAATACTGATAGTGTCCTGGAAAACCATTAAAGAAATAAAACTTCTGCTCTGCAACAGYTTTTAGTATGCTCTTCTACTGGTGTCCAAGGTAATCCTTTATGGAAAAATGTCTTCACATGAGGACATCAGTCATAGTGACTTAAATTTCCATCATTTTTTTCTCATGAAATTTATAAATTATTATGGGGTGCTAACACAGAGGTAAATATTTAATTCATAAATAGACTTATGCAATGATTCATGAATGATTTAGGAGAAAAACATTGCTACCTCTTTAGTGGCCAATTACTTGCCTTATCTTGTTATGCTAGTTTGCTAGGGTAAAGTCTCTATTGTCTATGTACGTATATTCACCTATAGAAAAGTAGCTGATTAAAATAGGGCTTTAAAGCTGAGAGATATTCATGTATGCATTTCTACAAAATTCTTTTTTTTTTTTTTTTTATTTTAAGACTGTGGAGTTTATAAAACTCTGATTTTGTGAGGTTGAATTTTAGTAGTGCTTTGGCTTAGGTACTGGTGCTTGCTTAAATTCCTCGTCAGCATCTAAAATACTACTGCTATCAATGCTTCCTAACGTAAGGAAAATGGTAGCTTTGTATATATGTACATGTAACGTAGGTTTTACTATATATCTTGGCTCTTTAGCAAGAAACCTTGCCTTTTCTCAAGAAAGCTCTTAGTACTCTGAGTGTTGCTGTGCTGAAATAGATGGGGAAAATCCCTTAGTTTTATGGAGTCAGAAATAAGTTTAAAAAAAAAAACACACACAAAAATAATAAATTACTATTTGAGAAGATTGTGGCAGCTCTATGTTACAGAAAGCCAGAGAGGGGACTGGTGGCAAAGCATTTTATTGAACTTAATGATAAACACATAGTAGGTTATCCCTACAGTAAGGCAAAAGCTCTTTTTACTTCATGGTCTTTCTTGAATTGTAGTGAGGACAAACAAGAGTAAAAAACAAAAGTCTGTGTGATCACACTTTTCCCCTTGTGTGAGGATAGGCACTGTTAGATTCTGTACCAGTAGGCCCTATAACTAATGCAATACCTGTTGCGTGCACAGTAAAGGAAGAAAATATTTTTTTTCTTGTTGTTTCTGGTTCAGATGTTTAGTCYTTTTGTGTTTGCAGAGATTCAATTTAAAAGTAGAATCTAAGTACTTACATGCCTCAAAGCTGCAGATACACCAACAAAAATCAGAAGCTTTTCCAAATATTTGACTCAGTTTCCTCCTCTCTATTGATGTGTGTGTGTGTGTGTATATATACATTTTGCCTCTCCTCGCTTGTGAGGAAATGTATGGGATGAGACATGTATTGCTCTAACCATATGACTGRAATATACTATGGAATGAAGAATACTAGGCCTCTAGTTTTCTAAGCTGTTATTACATCTGTGAATGCATCTGTGTATCAGAGACAGAGAGTAGAAGCAACTTTATCTTCATAAACTGCATTGCATATTGGTTTTATGTTCACAGAAGTGTCTTAAATGCAGCTTCCTTAAAAAAAAAAAAAAATAGGATTTCTTAACTACTACTGCTCAAAGTAGAGGAATCTTTAAACTGTGTATACCTAAGACAAAATGTAGCACACTTCTTCAGACTTATAATTCCCTGTCTCTCCTTGCTCTACTATAAGCAAACCAGATGACAGGATTATGTAATACTACTTTATATATTAGAGGGAAGCCAAATCTCTCCATTGCCTCATCTTCCAGATTT